CGGATTTGAGGCAGAAATCAGCAAAATGAAGGAAACAATTAACAAATCGTTAATTTTGCCCACACCGCAGAATCGGTTACCGGAACTGAAAGATGTCAAAGTCAGTTCTGAACCAGGAAAACTCTCCATGAAGCCACCCCAGTTCGACGGAAAAACTCCTTGGGCAAATTACCGCCAACAATTTGGAGCTGCGGCCAGAGCAAATGGATGGAATACAGGTGAAAAGGCGGTAGCATTAACACTGGCGTTGCGTGGAGAAGCAACGAATATTTTGCAAACCCTCACGATCCAAGAACAAGAAGACTATGACCAACTCAAAAAGCATCTTGAGCTACGGTATGGACAGGCACACCTAGAACACTTTTACCATTCACAGCTGAAAAACCGCTGCCAGAAATCAGGGGAATCCCTACAGGAGTTTGAAGCCGACATAGCTCGATTGGTCCGTCTGGCATATCCTGCTACACCGGAAAATGTAATGGAGCGGTTAGCAGTTCAGGCATTCTTGGATGGACTTCGCGACCAAGAAACGAGTCGGGCCTTGATGCTAGCTCGCCCCAAACATCTCGTGGATGCACTGGCAAGAGCTCTGGAGTTTGAGGCTGTAAAACAATCCTGCAAGGGTCAGAGCAAAGTTCAAACTATGGAGGAAGATGGATAGGGTTCTGCTGATATTGAGGCCACTTTTAGAAAGGTGATAAAAGGAGTTTTGTCTGAAAGAAAACAAATAAGATGCTGGAACCGTGGGAAAATTGGGCATGTACGTAGCAAATGTCCAAGCATTCAAAGAACCAACACCAAATCAAGAAAACTAGAGAGATTCCATGAGAAGAGGCAATCGTCAGCCTGTATCCAGCAAGCCCCCGTAAAAAACGCAGATGCCCTGTCACGGAGACCATGTCCCGATGGCTGCTCACACTACCGACGAGTAGAAGAGAAGGAAGCAGCTATTTATAGAACTACAGCTGTAGACGACAACTGTAAGGACAATAAGATCAAGGAAGACCAGAAGGAAGACTCAGATCTTAGTTTAATCATCACATGAAAGAAAAGTAAGCAAAGACCATCGTGGCAGGAGGTTGCAGGTTATTCGCCAGCGGTTAAGTCCTACTGGGCACAATGGAATTCCCTTACCTTGGAGAACGGGGTTCTGAAGCGGGTGTTGGAGTCTGAAGACGGTGGAGAAGAAAGGCGCCAGACAGTGGTACCCAGGAGCAGACGAAGAGAGGTGCTCAAAGAAATCCATGATGGAGTAACGAAGGCCTTCCAGAAAGTAAGACAACGATTATACTGGGTTAATTGTCAAGCCAACGTCAAGGACTGGTGCAGAAAGTGTGCTGTATGCGCTGTCAGTAACGGACCTAGGATACGACCGAAAGCCTCCAATGCACCAGTATAACGTTGGTAGTCCTTTCGAAAGAATCGCCATCGACATCGCCGGCCCGTTCCCAGAGTCCGACCATGGGAACAAATACATCCTAGTAGCCATGGACTACTTCAGCAAGTAGGCCTATGCTCTGCCCAACCAGGAAGCATTTACCGTCGCTGACGTCCTGGTAAAGAAATGGATATGTCGATTTGGTGTCCCATTGGAGTTGCATTCGGACCAGGGCAGAAATTTTGAGTCCAACCTGTTCCAAGAAATATGTAAACTGTTGGACATTCGAAAGACCAGAACCACAGCATTACATCCACAGTCCGATAGAATGGTGAAACGAATAAATAAGACCATAAACCGCCACTTGTCCAAGGTAGTCTCTGACCATCGAAGAGACTGGGACCAATACCTCCACTTGTTCCTGCTGGCTTATCGTTCGGCAGTGCACGAGTCAACCGGCCAAACCCCTACCAGTATTATAATGGGCCGAGAGCTGCGGCTTCCTTACGACCTGAAATTTGGGACGCCGCCAGAACAAGACACTGCGGGAGAAGACTATGTCAGCAAGCTTCGGCAGAGAATAGACGACATCCATGAACGAGTCCGTCTGAACATCCGGAGTGCCAGCGATAGGATGAATAAGGCCTATAACATCAAGGCGAATGCTGGAAGATTCGAAATCGGTGGCCTAGTTTGGCAGTACAAATCCTAAGCGACGCCGTGGTTTATCACCGAAGTTGCGGAACTCGTGGGAGGGTCCATAGAAAATCATGAAAAAAATGAATGACCTCGTCTACCAAATCCATAAGCCACCTCGAGGAAAGCCTAGGGTCGTCCATTTTAATAGATTGGCTCCTTATGCTGGAAATCACGACCAAGTTCGCGCCCTTATACTCGAACGGACAGAAGAGCGTACATGGGGTAACTCGAGAAGAGCCACGAGACCTTTTCAAGGTTCCAGTTGATTACGCATCACTCCTAAAAATATATCCCTTTCAGATGTATAATTTATATCGAACAGGAAAAGTGACACATTGAAAACTTTTTGAGGTCAAATAGACCTTTTATTAAATCTAGCCTGAGAAACCTATTGTGTAGCGAAACACGTGTTACGATTTTGTAAAGCTTTTATAGAGAAAAAAGTTATACACAGTTTATTTTTGAAACGAAGTGGTTAAGTCTCAAGAATTCTGGGTCTTTGCTATTGACTAATGCATGGTTTCGAAAAATTTCGTTTCAGATGAAATATTCTCCACTAGCGGGCGTCCCCGGCTCCGAAGGGTGCAATGCTGATACTAAATATAAATTTACCCACCGGCAAAAACGCCTAATTTGTATAAACAAACTGAACATGTACCTGAATAATCCATGTCTCTGTAGCCAATAATATCATGTAAGACTCGATGTAAACCAAAATTTGGTCAGAATTCAGAAAACATAACTATGTAACATAACATAACAAAATTATGAATAATCGCTGTACATAGGAATGATTCGAGAACCCCTACGGGTGCTCTATCTCTGGATTTCCGCATTACACTCATTTTTCAATTATATATTCTGTATGATGCCAATATAATTGAAATTTACAGATCTATAAAATAATTTTTGAATATAAAAATAAATACAAATGTAGCTTCGAATTTATAAAATTTTGCATATGAAAATGAATATGTAACATCTGGTGACGTTTTAAAAACTATCATATCATAAAGATATGGAATGAATATACATACATATACATTCACATACAATCTGGGAAAAAACCATTTCTAAACAACTACTTTCATATAAGATATCAAGACACGTTTTTTATCCCGAAACTTCGAAGTACACCATTGATCATAATATTGTTCTAGTCAAGTAACTATCAATACTCATTCATAATCACATTATGTAGCACCTGGTATTCAACGTTTTGTTTGAAGATGGTTGAAATGCACCACGAAACATTGTCAACCACATTATGTAGCGTTTCTACAAATTGTATGGAAAAAAGTGATTTTCGTGTAATCCAATGTTTGTATGAAAGTAATTAACTCAAAAGGTTGTGTATTTCCAACATATAGTAAGAAGATATATAGAAACGATTTATTTTCCCAAGAAACATACAATGTTTATGAAGAGTTTTTATTCAACTGATTACAACTGATTTAATTGTTACAGTACCTACCTTTACAAGTAATAAACAAAAACTCGTGTAGGTGTACCTTCCTACTATAATAAAATTATCCTTTTTTTTTGGAAGTTCCCCACATTTTTTGTTCAAAGATGAAGAAGTAAAAAGCTTTTGACCCAAAAAAAAAATAATCCATTTTCAATTCAACAGATTATTACTTACCACTTCACCTGTATCGTCAAAAATTTTGAATAAAAAACCAAAGATGTCACATACTTATCATGTAAACTTAGCTTTATTTGAATACATTGTCCGTTTGACATCAATAACAACTGTTGTAGGAGATGCTGTACTGACAAGAAGTAATCAGTAGGTAGTATTGAAGTAGACCTTGTGAGTATCAATAATTGTTTATAAACATAACTAATATCAAACTTAGTGTCAAATTTCAAGAGTCGAAATTTATACGCGATATTTTTCACAAATTCAATCAAATCATTCGTGTCTAGTCAACACTGAAAAACAAAAAAGATGATACGCTTCTTCAAGTCATATGCATTGAACAGAGAAGGAAAAAGGAACACTGCAGAAACTAAAATAATGGAATATTCTCTATCTTAAAGAACTACCCAACACCCTTTTGGATCAAAACTGATTTATTTGTTACAGTACCTACCTTTAGAAGTAATAAACAAAACCCACATTGAATACATTCCTGAAATTTTAAAGCTGTTATAGCTAAGAGTACATCAGAGAATATTCTGGACTCTACACTATGAGTTGAACCTGGGAAGTTGATAGGGATTAATGTTTTTTGAAATGATTTAAAAATATGTTATCTGCTGAATCAAAGAATCACAAATATGGAAATACTAAAAAGCTTACCTTAACTTTATACATCGCCATGTTGAATATGCCCGACTTTCAGGTCACCAATCTCCAGATCATTTCCTTTTTTAAGTTTTTTACGGTAACGAAACGGTTTAAAGAAACGAAAAACTTTTCACACATCACACTGGACAGTACTATGCATTTTCACATTTTCACCATTCATTTAATTAACTATCACATTCCCGCGTCAACCGGCTTTAAAACTAGAAAATTTTGAGAATTGAAAAATGAATAAATGAAGAATTGTTAAGCAGCCACGGCCTACCCCCCGAAAAGAACGTGATTATGTTGTTTGTCGTATTTATTATGTATACAAACGCGCTCACTATTCTGTGGCGCAGTTGACTAGATTGTGATTAATAGAAATCTAGACCACCGTTGCCAAATGAAGTGGTAATAGGTACATGGTAATATTATATTCATGGACTTGACAAAAAATGTATGAAACTGGTGATGATCAATTCTTGTGCAATGACAAATTCTGTAAAAACTGACTATCGCGCCAGAAAAGTTTTTGCATCGTATGATTTGGGGACACATGATTCATAGTGTTTGAGGAATAAGAATCANACAACGCGCGTTACTCTCAATCATTATTGGTTTTACTCTACACGAGCTGTGTTGTTTCCTGAATAGTAGGTAGTTGTAAAATGAAAAGTAATCATGGACCATTCATTACTAGATTTAGGTTCCGAGTCAGATTCAGATGCAGATTGGGAAACAGAAGTTTTGCTGTACAACCTATCAAAAAAAAAAGAAAAGAAGTCATATTGGAAAAGCAATTACATGAAAAAAAGGCAAGGTCATGGCGAATTCAATTTGGCATATGAATTTTCGTACTCAAAGTTCACTAATTATTTCCGACTAAATAAACATCAGTTTGATGCAGTACACAATATAATACAAGAGACAATTTATTCTGAAGGTTGTAATGCCCAGACACCCATTGGAACAAAAGAAAAACTAGCTGTATTCTTAAGGTAGGAAATTTATTTAATGTAAATTGAAAATTTATTCATTTAAAAAAAAAACAACAGGAATGCATTTTTGGTAAACTGAAAAGTTATGAAAAACTGATGCGGTGTCTTCGGACTGCGCACTGACTGTCTCTGGTGCCTCCAGAGACTGTAGGGGTGTGCTAGTAACAGATGAGTAGGAAGTATGGGAGTATGATGTTGAAGGGCTGTAGGCTCTCTGCGGGATTGGTTGATGCTGGTGCAAAATTGGAGTCTGGGGACAAGTTTGTGAAAAATTTTGTCGTGAAGAAGGGCCCATCTGTAAATATTCAGCTTCTACTTCTGACACTGCTTGATATACTCTATTTCTTATGACATGTTGGTATGTAGCAGGCATATCCTTTGCTATTTCATACATGGCCAAAAAAATTTTTGAAGTCCTTCATCACGTTGAGGCTTTACTGCCTCTTCACTGGCTTTTTTTCTTTCAATTGCCTGTTCTTCAGCTCTTTTTTCCCGCCGAATCATCGACTCCTTCATTATGCTGGCTAAATCATCTTTTTTCATTCGTTTATTTTTCTGAACAATAGTTTCCGACATTGATTTAGAAGTATCAGAATTATTTACTGTATTTTCATTTAGCAAATGTTCGGTTTCGGTGTTCTCCTCTGCGGACAAGTTTTCAGTGTTTCCATTTTCATTTACTGAAGTATCAATGTCTGCATTTTGAGGCAAATCCCGTGTTTGTTCTCCTTCGCTTTCGAGTTGTAGGTTACCCCCGCGTGGTCGATTTCCCATATAAGGGACTAGAAAATCCATTTGCTTCTGGTATCTCCAGGGTTTTATAACGGTTGCAGCAGATCCACTTTTAAAAGTATTTTTCTGCCTACGTAATGCTACACGATGACAACTTCGCAATTTTAGCCAATTGTTTTGCCTCGCCAATTTGTTTTGCCTCGCTTCCTGCAATAAAAGATGAACATTTAGACTTAACTATTTAACATTTCTTCTTCATAAAAGAATATCAAGGTTCTTTTCATTACAGATATTTGGCATCGAGAGACAGCTACAAAAGTATAGCCTATAGCTACAGAATGGGAGATCGCACGGTTTCCAATATCGTTCATGAAGTATCAAAAGCTATTTGGGAAAATATGCAACCCGTATATTTCCCACAGCCCACAACTGAAATGTGGCAAAAATAGCTTTGGAGTTTCAAGACAAATGGAANACTTTACACAATGATTTTTGAAATTATTAAAGGATTAAGGAGGTGTTACATTTCAACGTGCGATTCCAAGCGCGGAAATTATATGGATTGTTCTTTGTATTCATTGATTAGACTGGAAATTAGTGGGAAAATCAATACCTACTCATTTAAATTTAAATACAAACAGTTCCATATTTATTAATTTTAGATGAAACCATCACTCAAATCCAGGAAATTGTACTTTCATTACCTATGAAGATGTAGCAGAAATAGATTTTCATGAATTGTTCCATCCAATGAACTTACTCAATATTTTTGTCCGAAAGGAATATATAACTCCATTCATAATCGATAAAGAACAAATTAATTATCCTGAACGCATTGTCCTTTCATACATCGTTTGTGAATAGAGATAATTATAAGTTATCAACTATTCTGTACCGGCAAACTTGTTCATTATTTTAATGATACTGGGTTTTCCTCCAAAAAGAAGGATTAAATTCTTGACTGTTGAAAACTAATTTTCCGGCGTGAAAAAGCCGAAGAATAGACGTCAGAGCTTCCTTATATATCTGTAAGATTTGTAAGTAGAAACTTTTTAATTAATCGTACTTAGACTTTTAATTTCGGTAATGGAAAGACATTGAAAAGTTTGCTTCCCAGAAATTCGGGTTGTCTTTACACGCCCACTTGGGAACTAATTATCTAACTAACTTTATCAATTTACATCAGGCAATTTTCAAGATTAAGGACATTGAATTATCAACGTTGGACATTACCATACATCGTGAAATATGCAGTCAAAATTACTCGGATGTTGTTTAAAGAATACTCTTTGTTATATGGTCGAGCTCTCGAGAATGTTTATTAGCAAAGTTGGATAATTATTT